TACCTACCTCCACATAGGAGACGAAATTTCTCGAGAGGTCGCATGTTTTTAATCAATTTTGGCATCAATTGGGGTGTGGTTGGTATGCAACCGGGACATTTGCTACTCCTTTGTTACTAATTTTAGTCAAATTACTTGAAAGTTTGCAGATCAGTGTCGGCTCGTTGGTCTAGGGGTATGATTTTCGCTTAGGGTGCGAGAGGTCCCGGGTTCAAATCCCGGACGAGCCCTTGTTTTTTATTCCTACAGTGCATTTTTTACCACATGCGCTATAAAAATCATTGCTCCCATTCCACAGTTCTTCAAGTCCAAGCTCAAGCAAAAATGAGTGAAGGATCCTTAAACGACAAATTATTAAAAGGTTCTGACCTTATGTATTGCATCCAGTAAATGAGACCCCACATCATTACGTCATGCCAAAGTTAAAGCTATGTGAATAACATCCTTATTTAAACCTGCAATCAAATTATACAGCTTTCTCAGGCTTGATTATAAATTCACGTGTTCTGTTAGTCCTGGCAAAAAATAAACAGGGCTCGTCCGGGATTTGAACCCGGGACCTCTCGCACCCAAAGCGAGAATCATACCCCTAGACCAACGAGCCGACACTGATCAACAAAAAATTATTGCTTAGAAACTGTAACAATTATAAACCAAAAGGTTCAAAAGAACATTGACATTTAATTCATGCAAATTAAGGTCAACTATTCGATAATCTTGTTCATTTAAAAATACATTGTTACTAATTTAGAAACATGGCAAGAATAAAAAAGTGGGCTCGTCCGGGATTTGAACCCGGGACCTCTCGCACCCTAAGCGAAAATCATACCCCTAGACCAACGAGCCGGTACTCCTAATTTGCAAATCAAATACTTTTATATTTGTATTTATTTTTAATATATTCAAAGTGTACACCGGGCGGCGTATTGGCATTCTGTACTATTATTCAGAGCAGCTCTGGTCTGATTCGCAGTATACTATGGCTTCACGTTATACGCAATTTGATAATACATTATATACTGCGATTCAGAGCGCCGATATGGTTTAGTGCTCGGTGTCGTGTTTGTTTTATTACTAAAATCAGCTAAGCACTTGTCGCACCAAACACTGTTAATATCTTCACCCGCTTTTTAAAATTTCGCTTTAAATCCATGTTCTACTAGTTCCAAATATATACGATCATTGAAAACTTATTCTCGTGGCACATTTCAACCAATGCCTCTTTATAGATCATTTTAGTGCAGTTTGAGAACCTTGATTACACACAAACAACAAAAAATATGCTTTTTTCTTGCAAAGGGAACAATAAAAACACACTTTTTGTAAGTGTATGATGTGTTTTATAGAAACCCATTATATACAGTGTTTCAGAACTCTAAACCATATCGGTGCTCTGAATCTCAGTATATAATGTATTATCAAATTGCGTATAATGTGAAGCCATAGTATACTGCGAATCAGACCAGAGCTGCTCTGAATAATAGTACAGAATGCCAATCCATTGTATATATCTCGGTAAATAACGACTGTATACAACATTTTTTCTAATATAATAATAATAATAATAATAATAATAATGTGTTTATTTCCACCAAATTAAAGAAATGGAAACCACAGGGGTTATCGGTTCAGTTGCTGCACAGGCATGTTCTGATCTTCCACCGACTCCCTGAATACAATTAGAATTAACATAATCAAGTAATGCTTATAACTGAGTAATATAATAAAAAGGAAAATATGAAATAGTAATAAATGCACATAGGAGTAACTAAATGAGAGTGAGATGAAAATAGATTGAGTAACATACTAAGAAAAGCGGACAAAGAGACGAGAGACAAGTTAAACAAGATAGATATGAATGACAATCTACAACGTACGTACAGAGTCATGGGCTAATATTTGACGCAATTTAATTTTGAAATACTGCGGAGAAAGGGGCTTAATCAAATCTGGAACAGACGAATATACTTTAAAAATATTATAACTAAAAGATCTCTTGTACATTTCTGTGTGATGAGAGGGTGGAGTAATCCCACCACTAAACCGTAAATTTAAGTTGTGAACATCGGTTCTAAAAGATATTTTGCGGTATAAATATGGAGGAGATTTGTTCCAGATAATTTTATGATACAGACACGCCGCAGTAAGCAGTCGCCTATCCCTCATGCTGAACCAGCGTAATTCTTTTAATTTGGAAGATACTCGATCAAACTTCCTAAGACCAAATACTAGTCTAATACAGGAGTTTTGTACTCGCTGTATTCTTGCAGACATATCCTGAGTGATGCACGGACCGTAGACTTGCGAACAGTAATTAAAGTGGCTTAGTACCAGCGCGTTACAGAGTTGAGCTTTTAAAGTTTGGGACAAGTAGTGCCTATGGGGAAAGATAATTTTAAATTTGCATATGCTCTCTGAATGTAGCTAGTGAGTAATTTGTTGCCAGGATTTTTTATTGTAATTTATGTTTGCGTACGAACATTTCGAAACAATGTTAATAAGAGCTGGAAATCTTCTGGCCGAGTTATTTATATAAGTATAAGATTTGAGATTTTTTAATTTGTGTGTAAATCAAGTCGACTTTGCCTAATTTTTCATTGTTTATTTAAAGAGAATGTTTAAATTACTACAATTGGATGTGGTCATGTACAAGACAGTAGTAACCATTTCGAGAAGCTGGACGTTTCAAGTAGAGAAGGAGGATATTAATTAATTTGAATTTCAAAACATGTGATTCAATATTTCCATTTTGTGCCATCAAGATGGCCGAAGGCGGTAAAAATCAGTATTTGAGTTTTCACGTATAAAGCCCATTTGACTAAAGGAACAAGAAAGAACAAGTTAATTTTAGGTAACGCCAATGGCGTAGGCAAAAAATGTTTGGATCGCCGTTTCTGAGATTTGACCCAATTTTTTAAATGCAACACCCTGTATATCTTAACGTCAATTTCTTGCATTCTTTTTGCTAGTTACATTGATGTATCACAACCTATATTTTTTTAGCGTAACACAACGACGTTGAGGTAACGCTTATGTGCTCAATTTTTCGTCTGTCTGTCGTCTGCCTGTTCTATCGAGATCTCGGCCCCTGGACCACCTAAAGACTTCGGATTTATTTGATAGTTGCTATGGTCTATTCTATATATTTTCCCGTTACCCATGAGTGGGTTTTGAAACATTTATCTCATATTTTTCAGAATTTTGAAATGACATGTTTCTACCTTTAGCAATTTATTAACGAGCTCCTAGCGAGTTTATAATTTTACGGTGGCTGTCTCTCTGTCCGTCCGTTAGCACGATATCTCGATAACGAATGAACCGATTACGATGAAAGGTGGAGGTGAATTCTTTATCAAATTTGTAGATCGGAGTTCGTGAATTGGCAATGTAGCCCAAAAAAATAGGGAAGGCCCTTTTGACATCTCCGTGAGTTATGCACCGAATTGAATGAAATTCAATATGCGTATAGTTTTAACCTATAGGCTTTAAGCCATTTAGTGTTTTACCACTCCTAGGCTTTAGCCATATAAAACGCAATTCCAGAAATTGAGCCTAATGGATCAACATTCACATTTCGCATTTCGACCATTTATAAACCGAATTGCAAACTTTCTTATTAATTATGAAGGTATTTAAATGAAATTTGATACATAGCCACTTGGAATAAAAGCAAATATAACGCCATTTTCCAAATTTGGTTTTGTGTAGGATCTGCATAGTGCCAACTTAAACTTTAAATAAAAGCAAAACCTCAGGTTTAAAATTTGGTTTTGCATATGCTATAGCCATACCCAGGAGCTCGTTTTCTATATTTGTTTAGTTTATTTTATTCGTATCTACTGTCTTACTTACCATGGATACAAATATACAATAAACAAAACAAAATCTCCATGAAAAAATGAGGTTTTTATTGATTTTAATGGCTAAAATGAAAGAAAAGTACAAGAAGTCTAAAAGCTGCAGACATCTGATTCTGCTTCCGCACTGCGGAAGTACTGCATATCTTTCACTTCCGTTTCCGCCTCCGATTCCGCTATGTTATAACGGAAGTGTACCTGAATCTTTCACCTATAGCAAGGTGCGTTGTGCGCTCTAATTGGCAGAACGGGACAGCGCGTGACGTGAACCCCGAGCGAGGTTCGTCACACTTCCTATTCTGATTCAGTTTCTGTTTCTGCAAAAATATTTTGACTTCTGTTTCCGCTTCTGTTTCCGTTATAACACCTACGTTGCATCACTACTCTTTAGGTCTCTCTGGTTACCTTGGATGCAACTTGCAAATCATAAAGGCCATTAAACCTTTTTGAAGACATACAAAATCCTTTATGTACTCGCAATATAGTTTTTCTGGATTATTGAAAGAGCGCTTGAAACCCTAGGTCCAGAAATGTATGATTCAAGATACTGTTAGTTTTGAATTTATTATTTTAAATATATTAATCAATAACAAAGTTCACATTGTGCACATCTGATTTTTACAATATGCGATATGCTTGTCTTTACTAGAAGCATCTGTGGTTCAGAAAAAATGCCAGAGCGATAAGCCGAATGCAAAAATGCAATACATTTATGGAAAATAGTAAATTGATAATTTACAGAAACAATTGTAATAAAAATATGGGCTCGTCCGGGATTTGAACCCGGGACCTCTCGCACCCAAAGCGAGAATCATACCCCTAGACCAACGAGCCGATATTAACAATAAATTACCGTCCAATTTTGCTGCGTTGTTTGTAGGTCGTCGGTGAAAGTTGCTGTGTAAATTAACGTAAATTTCTTATACGTTCCCTAAATTAATCCAAACACTTTGACATTCTCTTACAACCTTCGCGAAAGTAACGGTCTTGGAAGGAAGTCAGTATCGGCTCGTTGGTCTAGGGGTATGATTTTCGCTTAGGGTGCGAGAGGTCCCGGGTTCAAATCCCGGACGAGCCCATTTTTTTGCCTTCTCATAATAGTAGGCCAAAAAACTGATTTTATTTCTGTCAGTTTGTATGAGAATGCCGGATTTTGAACGTGTTAAAAAAAGTCGCAATGAAGACGATGACGTGGAGGTGCAAGCCAGTCGCGTGCTGCGCGTGATGAATAACGCAATCGCCAAACTAAAGATTGCGGTAAGAAATGCGAAGTGATCATTTTGTGCTAATCTGGCTCGTTTCAGACGTGCCTCCCTGCCTTTATTAGCGACGACAGTCTTTTGCTGAGGAAATATCTGAGAAACGACGAAGTGGACTTCATTCAAGTCACTTGCGAACAGTATATCTCCCCTCTGGGCCAACAGGCGAGAATGACAAAGAAAAATTCGGTGGCGCATCCACGTATGGCATTGGCTCTAGATATGATATGGAACAATATGGAGCTGCGAAATCTTGCGCTGGAGAACCATGGAGACTTGGCCGATCCAACGGCCTTGCCTTTAATCGACTCAATACACTCCCTAACCCAGTTAACAGAAACCAAGCTGGGGCAAACGGCCAAAGAAGAAAGACTGAGTCGCAAACAACTTAGAACCGCCTGGTACGAGAACGCCGAAATGCAGAAACAGCTCTCAGGTATCCCAAATCTTGTTTCCATCCTTCCCAGCGTTGATTTCAGAGCTCACAACCAAAATTGAAAGACAGGGAGACGAGGGCGAAAGTAAAATTGTTCAGTCGATGCAGTTGGTGCGCTCCTACCAGAACAAGATACTCTCCCACATCCAAACGGTAAAGCGAACCATCAAGGAAAGAGTGTAAGTGCTGCCAGATCCTCCTCCAACTCACGGTTAATTTAGTGAAAACTCCGAGAAGACAATGTACGGGGAGTCCACCGCGAGCTTGGTGCGTCAGGCGAATCTGTCGAGCGACGCCAAAACCGTCACCAACCAGTACGAGGCGGTTCTCTCCCAGCATCTAAACGTCGAGAAGAAGCTGCGCGCGAAAAGGCTGAAGGTCGAAACTCAACTCGCCAACTGGCTGAGCAAGTACGACGCGGACATGGGGGAGCGACAGGCGGAGTTCGAGCACCTCGACGACATCTACAATCGGCAGAAGGAGAGCATGGACCTCCTGCGGGTTATGGTCGCGGAGCAGCAGGCCGAATACGAGGCGCTCTGGACCGAGAGGCTGGAGGAGGGCTTGGCGAATCTCAGAGTGAATCGCGCCGCGCGAATCATTCAGAGATGCTGGCGCAAGTATCGCGCGAAGAAGCTCGCCGCGAAACGTGGCAAAAGTGATAAGAAGAAGAAAAAGAAGAAAGGGAAGTGACGGATAATTTTAGTCTTATATTAATTATTTTAATAAACTGTGCACTTACCGCTTTATACTTTCACGAGACTACTAACATTGATCTAACGCGTTTGCCATGGCAACCCCATAATAATCAATATTTAAAATGTTAAAAAATGGACGCAGTGGACTTCCAGGTTTGCATTATTCGCCTCGTGTACATTATAAATGAGACAATCGAAAAACTAAAAATTGCTGTAAGTGCCCCTTTCGTCAAAGTTGCACCTGATTGGGCCTTTCAGATTTGTCTGCCTAAGCTTCTCGACAATCCGGGCAGGTTTCAGATGCGTCAATACTTAGAAACCGTTTGGAATAACACCGCGTTCAAGGATAAGACTCTTCGCGATCATGCGAAATTGGCGGACCCGCAAGCGTTACGCTTGGTGGAAGAAATGCAGAAGCTCAGAGCGATAGCAGCTGATAGGTTGCAGAAGACAGTCAGTGAGGAGAAGGTTCACCGTCAGTGCTTAACCAACGCGTGGCTCCAGAGTGCAAGGATACGAGCGGACATTAAAGGTATTTCTTAAGTTAAATGGAAAACGGCACGTTTCTTTGCAGAACTAAACGATCGAGTGGATGAACAGCGGGGAGCTTGGGAGAACCAGTTAGATGAGAAAAACGGTATTCTCTTCAGCTATCAGAGGATAGTGGATCAACTCGGTGCACAACTGAGGAGGGGCGTAATTGAAGCAACGTAAGTGGCCTTTAATCAGACAGTTGTGCCTTGGACTCGTTATCAAAAGTTTTCCAAAGTGACGGCTGGTCAATTATTCGTTCTAACCTTTTACAAATAAATCAAGAGCTTGCTGCCAGAATATTACAGAGGGAGCTTTTGCATGGTAGGTCTCTTACATTCTCCAAAAATTTCAGAAAACCGGAGAGTCTAAAGTACAAAAACGCTTTTGAAAAAACTAATAACCAGTTAATACGAAATCCCTTAAAGACTACACACACTGCACGCTTTAAAGATTGAACAATCTAATTTTGGTCCTTTAAAACCCCTAGATGGTTTTGGAGATCCTTTGCGATTATTGGCGGCTTACTCAGAGTCATAAAATCTCTGTAAACCCTTAAAAACCTATAGAGGTATCTGAAGGGTCATAAATGGTTCTCAAGGTTCGGTTTTCGAACACTCCTAAAGACTAAAACTCTTAAAACTAAGTGCCTCTTGGAGAGTTCTTACAGACCTACAAAGGTAAATAAATACCGTTAAATACTCTCGGCACTTAAAGATTCTTTAGTATTTTTAACGGACCTTGAAGCTCTTAACTATCGTTAAGAAACCTTTAACTGTCTTGAAAGCCCTCAAGAACTCACAAAAGCTTAAAGACTGGAATCTTAAAAGGAAAGGAGGATCTCAAAGAATTTAATGTCAGTCCAAACTGCACTGCACTAAAAGCTTTGACATCACCAATAGATATGTCTCGTCCTGACGTTCCACTTGCCTTTTATAAGTATCCTCTTCCGCCACTTCGTTGTCAAGGTATTTGCTTCGATTTCACGAATATACGTATATGTCTCGTCCAGTCGATTCATTTTGCCAGTGAGAGTATATATTTTCCTCCGACAAACTAGTTTCGAGATATTCGTTCTTAAAGGTTTGAGATCACCAATGGACATATTTCATCTAGACGTCCCAATCGCCCTTCGTGAGTACCCTCGTTCGACATTGTGTTCTGAAGGTATAAGGGTATATAATAGAGGAGAGGACTACGGTTGGTAGAAATTAATTCCTCTGGTTGAGACCTTTCATTAGAAGATAAAACCAGCCCCCCCCTCCCACAGCGCTCTTTTTGGTAAGGACCCAGAAAAACGTTGGTGGAAAACGGTTCCTCTCGTTGAGACCTGTAATTAGTATATCATGAAAGATTAACTTTTAAACCCCCACACTCCCGGCCCCGTCATCCGATCTCCAAAAAGAATTGCGCGGGAAAGTTACAGTTTGTACAAACGAATTTATTTCGATGAGACCTTTCATTAGAATACCGTGAAGGATGGAAGGTGTGTTTACTTTTACTTTCAAAAACAGCATCTTAGGACATACCCCCGCCAGCAAAATTTGCTGGCCGCCTGGCACACTTTCAAGGTATAGGCTATCTATTGCAAACAATTCCAAGACCATTGGTCTAAAAGTAGTTCAAAACGGCAGAACTGGGCCTGCACGGACGAACGGATGGACGGACAAAACGCAAACAATAGCACTTTCTAATTCTTCAAAAAATGCGCTAAAAATAAATACTAACAAAATCACGATATTTCGTATTTTTTAGCGCATTTTTTAAAAATTAAAAAAATGTGCTATTGTCTGCGTTTTGTCCGTCCGTCTGTCGTTCTTCTGTCCGTCTGTCTGCCCGTCCGGACCCATTTTTGCAGATTTAAACTATTTTTAGGAAAATGATGGTGCGCCAGACATCAAATTTTACTGGGGGGGGGGGGGATACATATTTCCTGAGATGCTATCGTTGAAAGTAAAACGTACATAACTTTTGCATGTGACAACCAATTGACCTCAGATTTTGCATGTACATGACCTTAGTAGTGCCAAATAAAACTTTTGCAGGGGGGGGGGGGCGCACGGGGGGAGAAAAAGATTTTATTGGGGGGGGGGCGCACGGGGGTAGAAATAGATTTTATCATTCATGGTATTTCTACCAATCATTTAGTCCTCTTCGTGGACGTATTTATCGTGATCGGTTACAATTCCTTACATTTCAAGAGCGGATTTTCGGAGGAGGGTACACACAAAGGGCGATTGGAACGTCTGGAAGGAATATATTCATTGGTGATGGCAAAACTTTAAGACTGAATATCTCGAAAACGGTGTTTCGGAGGGGAGTACCCACAAAGGGAAAATGAATCGTCTGAACGAGACACATCTATTGGATATATAATATCTCCAGAACGGAGTGTCGGAGGAGGATACTCTCAAGCGCGAAAAGATCTTCTAGACGAGACACATCTACTTAATTGTGAATATCTCCTTTTATTATTCCTTCAGAAATGGCAACGTATTGAGAACCGGAACCCATATTACTTTTTCGGTTCTTTTCGGTTTTTTACGGTTCTTAACAGGTTATTGGAAGTTGAAGGACGCGCCGGCAACTGCGTCCTGAAAATTGATAAAATATTACTTTATCGGCCGGTTGCAGGAAAGCGAATTATAATCAAAATCCTACATTATTGGCCAAATCTGAGTTTAAACAAGAATTTTGACATTTGATTGGATGCCTACTGTAATATAAAGCCAATCAAATGTCTTCTATTTTTTTTGTGCAACTGGGCCGTAAGATTGCCATCGGTGGATTATAAATTTTAAATAAGGTGTCGAAATTGAAGGTATTCGGGTGGCGGTGGCGCTAATTTAGCAACTACTGTAAAATGTAAATAATAAAAAGAGGGGCGAGGTTTTAGAAAGTAAAAATAGGAAACATTACGTATGTTTCTTACTTTTTGTGTATTTTTTTTCTGTTTTTTAGTAAGAAATTAAGTTTAAATACATGCCATACGTTCTAAAAGACTAAAACCGCAAATAACCGTTATGGAGCGAAAAAAATGCGCAGAACCGAACCGTTATTTCTTTTTAGAACCGAAACCGGACCGGAACCGTTATAAATATTTTCGCTTAAATATAAACAGAACCGGAACCGATATTTCATTTGGATTCGGGTCCCTGCTTCTGACACTTAGAGTCTTACAGACCCTTTAAGATTTGGTTATTTGGTTTCTCAAGGCTTATTAAAAACTCTGGAAGGCTCCTGAGGACTCTTTTAAAATGCTTTTATAGACTATAAAAGACACTCAAGGGCTGTAAAAAATTCTGCGCCTCATACAAATTCTTAAACACTCTCAAAAACTAATAAAGCTTCCCTAAAGGTTCCTAATAGAGGAACCTATACTGGCTATTTGGAGACCACTAACGGCATTCAGAGGTACCTTTAAAGTACGGACCCTTAAGTTGGCCCTTGAAGCTCTTAGTTAAGCTCCGTAATCATTCTAATAACTGACAAGGAGTGGCTCTAAAATAGGAAAGTCTTACCTCAAGGACTAAAAGTTTCCAAATGTCTTCTGGGCACTCTTTGAGGTTTTATTAGTTTCTTAGAGACCGTTTCCGACATTTAAGGTATCTAAGGCCTTTAAAGATCGTTAAAAACCTGTTAAAGAGCTACGGTTTCATATAAGCTTTTAAAGGCCCTCTAAGTTTAAGTCCTAAATTAAGATAAAGTTGGCACTGTTGAGTGAAGCTATGAAAATTGGCACATGTGCTCTTTGAGCCTTAACGTTCCGACGTGGCGCCACGCTCATTCGCCCTTGAAACCCCCATTTTAGGATAGGGGGGGGGGGCGCTACATAAACAAAAATGGTGATTGCTAAAGGCTGGCCCTTTTTTTTCGACTCCATGGTTGTGAAAACACGTTTAGAATACTTGGGGTCGACCATTGGAGCACAAGCTAAGTCCATATGAGTAACTGAGTAACAAGTAAAAGTTGCCTAACCATTTAGGCGCTAAATAACCAATTTGTATGTGGTTTTAATTGTTTTCAGTGCTTTTTTACCAACCTCTGGGCGACTTTTAGAGATTCATAGAAAACCCTTGGAGGTTCATGGAGACTCTTAAGGTTAAAAACTGTTGGGGTTCCCAAAAAGTTTTAATTACTGTTAAGGGCATTAAAATGTACTTAAATATTCCTGGAGATCGAGATATTTTTGGCTAATAAGGAACTATTAATATCTCTGAAAAACTCCTAAGGACCCTCAAAAAATCAGTTGATTTAAAATGTTAAAGTAACCCCCCCCCTATAAAAAGAAAAAATTAAAAAATTATAAATCCTTATGCAGATCCTTATGTCACCAAAATTTAATAAAAATAATTGAAAACCGTTTTCGAGATATCGCCTTATAGCACTTTAAAAAACACCCTGTATAATTTTATAATGGCTTGTAAAGGAAATTTCTTCAATCCAGCAGCTTTGGATTCGCAAAAAAACGTACTTTTCTTTTGACTGCTAATTAGGAAACTTGATTGAATAATTTCAGAATCTTAGGCAAACAAATTTCCCCAACTGAGCTGATTCTGGTACAATCGATCTCAAGAGGTCTTAATCATTGATTAATTTAACTTTGGACAGGCGAAAAACGGCGGAAGAATTGCGCCAAAAACACGCAGCTAGCTCTGTTCGCCAGTCACATTTAGCGAGCGATGTAAGACTAGCCCTGGTCGAATATCAACGTTTGCTTTCCAAAGATTTGCGACACGAAAAGGCGCTTCGCGCTAAAAGAGCGGAGGTTCAAATGGACGTAGTAAATTGGCTGGTCAGATTCGATGCGGACGTTAGGAGCGCGCAGGAGAGGCTGGAGGACCTCGCTGCTGGATATAAGGAGGAGAGCGAACGATTGGAAGAGCTGCGGATGCTCTTCGGCCAGCAGGAGGTGGAGTACAATGGGGTTCTAGCTGAAAAGGAGGCGGATCGGATTCGAAGCGAAGAGGAGGTGGAGTTGTTCTTGCACAATTACTCCGCCAAAATTATCCAACGCGGTTGGCGCGCCTATCGCCGCCGATTAATCGAGTTTAAAAAGTCTAAGAAAGGTAAGAGCTGCAGATTATTGCGATTGTGACAGTTAAATATTTGTGGTAGGAAAAGGCAAGGGAAAAGGTAAGCAGAAGAAGTCGCCAACTTAATAGACCTTGAGGAATAATTAGTCCGGCCTTGGATGACTCGACACGCAATAAAGAAATGAAAAACCTATATTTAAAGCATAAGATTAAAATAAATAGTTTAATGTCAATCAGTGTTTTAAGGGCCTTCTCAACGTAGCTGCCCTCACTTCCAGAAGGATGGGCTTTTCCTTCGTGCTGGGCACAAACGATCTCGCCCGACGTATACGGTCACCTTCGCGATCTCTTAGACTAGGTGCAACTTCCAGCAGTCGCGACTCTAATATTTCTCTACGTTCCTCGGACAATTGTATTTTATCAACGGCTAACTTTAGGGCATCGTCCAAGCTTCTGCGTTCGCGATCAAGTTGGTCTAAGCGATCTTGTGCGGCTAAAATGGTAGGTATGATTACACCACTCCATGAAGCTAAAAGGGGTGCTTACCTTTCAACTCCAACTCCTTTTTGTGCTGAACTTCTTCATACTCGATTCGCTTCTCCCTCTCCTCCTCCAATAGCATACGCTGCTCCACTTGCAACTTCTCAAGCTCCTCGCGTTTCTCCCATTCTTCTGCCAAAACCCGCGCCTGTAGAGCGCGCACGATTTCCTCGTCACGCTTCGCCTGGGTCTCCTCCTCCAAAAGCTTCTCGAGATTACTCCGAATTTGCTCGAGTTCGGTCAAACGTTTCGACTCCTCCAAAACGACAGCCTCCAATTCCTTGGCCTGTCCCTCCGCCGCCTTCCTCGCGCTCCTTTCCAGCTGTAACTGGGCGCGAGCTCTCAAAATTTCCTGTGACCGCCCTTGCCTTTGCAATCGCCTCTTGGACGCCTGCATCCTCTGATACGTCTGGTACGTGGCCGAGTGATCCGCCGCCAGCTGCAAAGCCGAAATCCACTGGAGCCTAGTCATGTGGTCGCTGGCGCCTAACTCGAAGGTACGTTCGGGAGTTTGTAACAGGATCTTATACCCAGCCTTGGGCTCGACCTTGCTCCCGGCCTCGATCGTCAACGAACCGCACCTCTCCTTCTCCGACCGACTTTTATAAAAGCTGAGCTCTGACGGTCTTAAAACGAACCAATACTCCTTCATCGTGGAAAATATGTAGCCTTTCTTGTACAAAAACCCCTTCTTGATGACATCATCGACAAAAGTCTGGTATAAATCGGTAACGGCTTCCGTAATAGCATCCTCATCCTTAATCCCCACCAAGCACCTCGACTCCAAAACGGCGATGAACGGTGCCAAACGAAACGCACCGATCGACATGCCGAGATCAATAAAATCCTCCTCGTCCCAAATACATCCAAGCGAATTAGCAAGCGTTTGGGCGACGTACGAGGCCTCCGACGGATGCAGCAGGACCTGGTACGTGACACTGTTGGCATCCTGAATCAGCTCCGCCAACAGGCAGAAGATCCGGAAGATTCGCAGCACGGATTCGTCGGAGAAGATCCTCTTCTCCTGGTCCAAGTACTTCTTTTGACAAACGAACCAGCAGGCTTCGGCGATTTTCGTCTCGTACTCGCGCAGTTCGGGTAGAGGGATTTTGTCCGCGAGCGACGAGAAGACCTCGCGCTGTAAGTAGTATTTGAAGTGGTCGAAGTTGAGGTTCGGCGTGCTTCGGTAGTGATCGAGGCCTTTTTCCACGCCGTGTATGTCAAGGAGTGTGCCGATGTTTGCCGTCAGTACCTGTAGAGAAAGAGGAAATTATTGATATAAAATAATTATAAATAAGGTCACCAGATATTTTACCTTTTACTCATTGGTGCTGGTCTAATATAAGTAATGGAAACGACACAAGAACTCAGTGGTCCTCAACAAAATTGTGATGGCACCGAGTCAGAGGTCGGTGATCTCAAATAAAGCTAAGTGGGGGCTATTGGAGCAAATAAGAGTGCCTTTAAACTCTGATGACACCAAAAAAAACTCGTAACGCGTAAAAGGAGATAATTACCATGACCTCGTCAAGAAGAGCATGGTGAGGAGGCGGTTCAAGTTAGGCGTGGATGATGCGAAGGAGGTGATTTATGCCTTATACTTATTATGATGGCGCTAAGGTTAACTTCAAGAAAAATTTCTTTCAAAATTTCTAATGGCGCCAATAAATCCAGCAAAGTGACGCCAAGAAGAACACAGTCAAGTTAAGAAAAAGCGCGTGCCACAGTAGAGCAGGGTAACGTAAAAAGAGACTGTTTCGCTCTCGGCTCTGCCTATAGGATTCTAATAGCAATGAAGAGTGTAGTCGGAAAAACTTTTACTGGCGCTGAAAAGAGTACGAGTTGTACCAGGTGGGCGCTTTAGGCCTTAAAGATTCTTTTGTTACATTTAGAAATCTGCCGGTATAGGAAATTTTATACGTGTGGAAGAGAAGGGAACTAAAATTAGAGAAAATAAACCACGTTAAGATAAGAACCGTGTATTCAAGCAGATAAGAGTCGAAGTGCTACAGTGTTGCCGGTTCTAAACACCGTGGTGACGGAGAATGAGGAACGGTGTTTCTGCTATACCTTCACAAGTATAAAAAACCGAATGAACGCTTGGTTTTCGGTGGGCCCGTTTCATCACTGGAGCTCGGCGAGTACATAAGTAAAAATTGGGTGGGAGAAAGAAGTTTTTAAATCGAAACATGTGAGTTGCGCCAATTTCGATGAGAATGTTGTCGGGGTGTTTTTTTTAAATTAGTGACGAATTGACATTACAAGTAAGCTAATAACAAGTGGCTGGGGAACTTGATTGCGTAGTGGAGTCGACCGGTCGGCTAATATAATTTTTAACCGCGAATGAACGAACCATTTCGTTTCGTAGTATTATCGGATTAGCGTGGTCTCATTTAAATAAATTGTTACAACGAAAACGTTGAGGTTCAAGGTGCAAAACGTTTTATTGCGCTATATTTGAAATGGTTAGTTACGTTAAAAAACCAGTAGTGTATACGGGGTGCTATTAGATCTACATTAAAAGGCAACCGGTAAAAATTCCAAAGATAATTAATTCGTGCTTTTGTTGGCTGTTAAAGTCCTAGGTATCCTAAGGGTAGCTTCGAACATTTCCATACTGGGGAACATTGCTAAATATTTCACTAAATAAACCAAATCTAAACTAATAAACTGCGAGAAATCTGATGGTCCAATTATATTTTACAAAGCGTTCTACCATCGAATGTTCCAAATTGTTGCTAATCTTCCAAAAGAGAAAACCTGTCGATTAGAGAAAATTTTAAATCGCCCATTAATGTAAGTTAATTGCATTTTTTTGCATTTTGTAACTATAAGAGATTATTTTATTTTTGGGGGATATTGTATAAAATATTTATGTTTAAAGTCATTCTAATATTCCTGAAGAGGTCGACTTACGGGACTTTATCTCGTGTGTATTTTTTATGAATGATAAGGGAACCCAGAACAGATACTGGTAAATTTTTTCTCACAAATTGTGAATTTTACAGTTTCTTTTGTGTGGGTTAAATTTTATGTAGCATCCAGAGGCGTGTAAATTATTTTGAATTGCATTTTGGATCAAGTGTTCGATTATTTACGAATATTAAAAAATCTAGATAATTAATTAGATTTGGACGTGATCAACGACACAGGGCTTGAATTTTTAATTTGCGTTGGTTACCTGAAGTACGACAATATTTTAAATTACAAAAAAATAATTTGGGGTGAGATTATTTTCAACAATATATTCAAACAAGTCAATTTATATGAGTATTTATTTGAGAGTGATAAAACCAGTTTCAGATTATAATAAGAGATTCAGAAACAATCTTCAGCAAGGTAAGAGTCATTAAAAATTTATTCACTATTGAACTAGCCGCGGTATTAATTATTTAAATACAAAAAATTAATTGTTACAGTAGAAGTTTGACCAGTGCCGTAGAGAAAAAATTTATTTTCTACAAGAGGGGTTTCTAACTCCTGTAAATGTAACTAAGACGTTAAGACGAGAAGACCCCATAGAGTTTGATTTTTTATTTTATTTTGAATAATTTTTGTATTTAAAATAAATAAATAAATAAACAAATAAATAAATAAATGTACAGTTACGACTAAAAGATTCCGATAAACTAAGTGGCGAGTAGAGGCGTGAAGAAGAGGTGCAGTGTGGTTCCTAAACACACAGACACAGACACGGTGACCCTAAAAGGCTCTCATGGGCTAAGTTTATCAAAGTAGCGCCATGAAGAGCCTACTTCAAGAACCATAAGAAAACCATGTGACGTTTGAGTAGGGTTCTGTCCAAACACAGCTGCGCTTAAATGATTCTGGTAGATCGTGTAGACATCGATAAATTCGTTTGGAGGTCGCCGATCCATTTACACAGTTCATATTTGACAATGCAGACTTTATGAAATGTTAATGCTTTGGATAGACACGACGCATTCCACGCCATAGGAGGAATCATGGCTGTGAAATTCACCATCAGCGCCTGGGTCATGGCTGGAATTGTTTTCTAGAGCTTGGAACCAGTGGTGAAAAGTACGGATGCTCGAAAATTCATCAATGCTCCACCCAGTGAATATAATACGGTATACAGTATAAGAAGTAGACATAGGGATTTATGTGTATTGTTTTTCCCTATGTCTACTTTTAAATGATAAAATTTTCTTAAGGGCGCCTAATTTTATGCAACCAAAATAACGTCTTAAAACGAATCAAGATCTAGCTGTCACATTAATTAATTTGAATATTGTTGCTTTGGCTTCCGTATTTTTATTTTCGTTCGCATGCGATGTATTCAACTGAAGAAAAAGTTGATATTGTCAATTGGTATAGTGCCGGTAACAGTTTAAGGAGCGTAAGAGATTTATTTTCTGTTAATCCTAAGTAGCAATATTCAAACTAATTAATATGACAGCCAGATGTTTTATTAGTTTTAAAAAGTTATTTTGGATGCATAAAATTAGGCGTCCTTTAGAAGGATTTTGTTTTTTTTTAAGTAGACCTAGAGAAAAACAATGATCTAAATCCTAGCCTAAATCCCTATTATGTCTACTTCTTAATAAATATCACTGTACACATTCACTGTGCTCTTAAACAGTGTACATTGGCTAAACAGAAGATTTGCATTGTGACTTTTGATCTGCCAGTGTACTAGCGTATGGGACCAAGTGCTCAATTTTCCGGGTAGGTTCATTATCTTGAGGGGAGCAAATGATCCCGACCTTCATACGGTGACTGAGTGATTTTCAGAAATGCTGAACACTCCTGAAAAATGAGGTCCAGTATTTTCGAATGTGCACGCTGTTGAAGAACTTCATAAAAGCTGAAAGAATGGGTAATTGGAATTGCGTCCAGGAAATGATACCCTACTTTCATGCAGTTGGACACTTGAATTATGCCAAAAGTGCTAATTTCTATTACGAATATATGGTCACCCTATACAGGAAAGGATGGACCCTTACGAATGTATGAGGTTCACCACAGATGGCTACTTCACCCGTCGCTGTTCTGAAGAAGCTTGGTTAGGCGTGTGATCCGACATGAGTATCGAGACGGTTCTCATGCGGGCTATGAAGAGCTGTGGAGGCCTCACTCGTGGATGGGGTGTACCTGTTATACATACAGTGTGTCCCAGGTTAGAACGTACCATAGGGATATGGCAATGTATGTTTTCGCAAAGGATCTACAAGGCCTTTGAAATTAGCGTTCGACGTACTACTCCAATCTCTTCCTAGCATCAGGCAAGCGCAATAACGTACATACTTCAAATGCATATCAAAGGTCTTGTGAATCCTTCGCGAATAAATAAGTTAATTCTGTTTGCCTATGGTGCGTTCAAACTGGGACACACGGTGTATATAGCATATCAGGTGATTAATTTATCTTGAGACGACTTACTAACTTGATCAAATCATCTTTTTTGGAAAAAAGTTTCATACAATGGTTGTACTATTCTAAAGCAAGCTAATCGCTTGTGACCTTGATGTTGACCTTCACGCTCGACTCCACCATTTTGAGCACGGAAATTAAAAGAGCGGAAAATTTTACTAACGCACAGTATCTAATTTATCACCTAATTGGATCTATCAGTTAATGTAAAAATTGGTTAGACCATCGTAGACCCAAGAGACCTACTCTAACCCTTCTCATTACCGAGTCCAAAATTAGGGGGTCCCATTAAAAATTTTGAAGTTGAGATTGCCTTGGAGGTCGAGATCAAGGTCATCCTCAAGGTGACTACCGATTGCCCTCTTAGAATTATTGTACAACTGTTGTATGACTCTTTTTTCCAAAAAATATGATCCTACAAGTTACTAAATCGTCTCAAGGTAAATGAATAACCTGGTATATAATACATATATAACATATACAGGGTCCTGCAACAGTACGTTAACCTTTCCTACATCATACCTGGTAAAAAATCCTTTTCTGCAAATATCAGACGGTTCCGCATCTACAGAAATTATTTTTGAATGAACAGGGTGTCCCATTTTTACGGTGAAAATATATAACCGATTTTTTTAAATGGATTATATGTGTTGCGTCTTATTAATATTTTCCGGATAATTCCCCATAAGCAAGCATCACAATTATGAATCCTAGAGTTGAGCAAGAATGTTAATCTGAGTAAAGAGAACACTTTGATAATGAGAAAGTTGGATTTAGTAATACAGGGTGTTCACAATGGAATGGTAAATTTCCCGAATTTCAAAGTATCATAACTTTTATTTAACTAACGAAGTATTTAACTACCACTATTTTATTTCGCTATTTGATAGTCTTTTGTGTTCTCTTCAATTTTTATAAGGGCCGTCCTGCGTGTAAACCTCGTAGTTCTTGCAGCAAATAATTAATTTTCGACAACATTTACCTTCGACCCTTCTTTTGATTTTCATTATTACAGCCTAGTCCGGTGCACAAACATGTAGGTAATTTATTAATGGATAGGTACTTTTGTGAAAAATATTAAAGAACCTAAAAACTAAGAGGTATAGACACAGAGCATCCCGAGGACCATCCCTTATAAAAGTTGAAGAGAACACAAAAGACCGTAAAGAAATAAAATAGTGGTACTTCCATTTGAAAAAAATGGTTATGAGACTTTCACCAATTCATTGTAAACCCCCTGAATCACAAAATCCAATTTTCTGATTATCAAAGTGATGGCCTTTACTCGGATTAACATTATTACTCAAATTAATTTCTCAACTTCAAAAAACAAGGTAGCCACCCTTCATCAAAGTGAGGATTGCTTATGGGGAATTATTCGAAAAAAAAAAAATCGTGACAAAAAATCAAAAAGTGAATAGGTTTCAATGTAGATTGTAGAGGTCAACAAATGACATCGAAACAACTAAAAATATACAGTGTTCTATTATTTATTTATTAGTCCCTTAAAATGAGACCCCCTGTGCGTTTAATAATAATTTCTATAGATGCGCAACCATCTACAGTTGACATTTGCCCATAAGATTTTTTTTATAGGTATTATCTATATCTTTACGAGGTGTGGGATAAGAGAAACCAACGCACTGTTGCAGGACCCTGTATAAATAACCAATACAAGGCAATTAGACGTTCCTTTAATCATATAGCATCTTTTAGCGATGCATTAATTCAAAAATGTCTATAAGATGGTCTTTCGTTTCGTGGGCTCGTGAGAACATGCAAATAGGACTTGGTAGTACCTGACAGTATATCACAGTAGGTACATCGGCAGTACTCAGCAGTATCTAGTGGTACCCGGCAGTACACAGAATTACTGGCTGGATGGAGTAGTACACCAATTACTGTCAATGACGGCAGTCCGTATACAAAAGTTTGCCCAGTGAAATACCCCACGGGATACTCCAAAGCACCAAGGCCTCAGAACGATGTCGCCGTTCTGCATTACAATCAGCAGTCAAGGTCGTGTTCTCCTCATCTACCATGGTGACCATGTCACAAAAAAAGTTCCAGGCAAACGATGAAAATAAAAGCGCATTCATACTGATGTTGATGACACGAATGGTGGATGCTACCATCGAAGTGAAGCAGTCATACTTATTCTGTTGACAGCATTAGGTCCCAGTGTCCTTTACTTGCCGAGCTCCCACTCCTTTTCTCCGAAGGACATACTCCTCCTCCACGCACTGTGTAGGTATGATACCACGTCAGCACCGTATGGAATGGGGATGCATATTTGCAGCACATAAGTACATGCAGAATACCTGCCTTTCTGCAGCAGGAGTAGCCCCGTTTCACACACCAGACGCTACTCCTCAGCAGATCAGCGACGCTGGAGAAAAGTTTATGGCGGCAACAATGACAATGCCCGACAATCTCGACGACCTAAGGAACCGATTATTCACAAGATCAATGACGAATTAATTCTACCACCAAAAAGGGACGCCGCCAAGTACCACCCCCTCCGCACTTAGGTATCAGCAAGTAAAGGTGTGGACTTCTCGCATCAGTTTGGGGCTGGAGCACGCCCAAGCGAGGAGCTTTATCAATCCCCACAACTAGAAATGCTGCGCCCGTTGACACCTTCCAAATTGATTCCTGCAAGTACAGCAAAGGCTGTAGCACTACTTCTTCCAACCTGTCGACTGGACTATTATATTTCGGTTGTCTTGTAATGATAGTAATTTTTAAAGACTTTTTTAAGCCTATCTAGGAATATCTGGGAATATTTTTAAGGATGTAAATGGAACTAGTATCAATCCTATAGTTCGTACAAAATGGAGAGCTGTGAGAAGTTGGCCCCTCATCATCATTGTTTCAAATGGAAGAACTAGTGGTACCAGTTGAAAATTATACTTTCTGAACATCTAATTTTTGCCTCATTTTTCACCATCGTGTTTTTGGGGTAAGTTTGTGGAACTTTTTTCAAAATCTATCAAATTACGAATTTGGATAATGATGTCTCAGACACCCTTCCTATATTATGAGGTGCCTAAAATCCTCGTATATACCTGGAAGTCATGATTTGGTCTCTAGAAACTGGAGCTATCCAACAGTCATCACTTCCAGCACTTATCTATAATTAGACACGTTTAATCGTCGCGTGTGCAATTTTCATACAAACAAATTAAAACTACTTGCATCCTTGAAAACCGAAGTATGTACGTACAGCCGAAATTATTATTAATAACCCAACACGCACGACATTTCTAAACAAGAGTTTAAATAATCCAGTTCCTTCAACTTCCTCTTTCGGCTATCTTATCAACACGCGAAAGATTAAACATTTTAATCTGCGCGGCCTAGATAATTGGACGATAATTAAAGTTCAGGACAGTCGTCAATATCAACAAATAACCTCAATAAACAATCTCGACCTTGCCGAGACTGACCAGGCTCCTTGAGCACAGAAACGCTCCGCCACTTTCTATAAAAGGCAAATAGAAAATCACCACCTGTTGGCATAATCGCTCGAAATAGGCCCAACGCAACTCCCTACCGTCACGATTTTCCGTCGACGAAAAGCGGAAAACGCAAACTTACCCACCTTTAACTTGGATTTTTGCACGGAACCGCACTTATCCAGTTGGAGGGCGGCAAAAGCGTGCCACACGTAATTGGTGACATTCTCCAGTAAGACCGCCATAATTACTCATCTAAAAATCTTTCTCATTAACTTGATTAATTCACGCACGCACATCGATAGGATAATCCGAAATGATTAACGAGGTTACGCACTTTTACGACGAAGCACAAACAACCGTTTTCTACCGCGGCGAGATACCGAATAAAAGGATTGTGATTGTATCTCTCTAAACACCGCATGAGTAACGCAGATTAATGATTCATTGTTCAAGCGAATTTGGTATAATTACAGATTAGATTGCAAGTACTCGGTAAGAATTTATTCGCCTATGACTGGCAATAGAAAAAATGGTAGTGGGAAGAACAAAGATTTTTAAAAAACTCTTCCATGATGGCTGATGATGGCTACGAAACCTTGTTCTACCCTAACCGAAATGAGCTTTACAGTCGAGCACGAATGTAGGTAGTTCTTTCAAAATTAGATTAGTCTTGGTTGCGGCTGGTACACTAAATCCTTTTTTTGTCGAAATTCAAAAAAATCGAAATTCCGAGGAATTTATCAACCAACAGCCACGCAGTTTTATCTTTAAGTAGTAACGGTAGTCCATTAGCTTCAAAAGTAATCTAAACTGGATGTTGTCACTTCACTCAACGAGACCAAGTGTATACTAGATGTAACAAAATCCGCTGAATCCGAAAATTTTTTTCGCATTTGACTTCAATTATCTCGTTAACTATTGCTCTAAGGGAAAAAATGAGAAATTAGTTTGTTTGGAATCAAATTTTCTACAAAATACGTGAACGTTCATTTTCAAACGTTATTGTGTTTACGGAAAAATATAAAAAAAGGAATCACAGATTTTTGAAAATACGTATTTGGTCGCTTCTTTTGATGACAAAACAATAAGACTAACCCGATCACCGTAGGCATCATAGTCATTGATTAATTAAATAAACAAATTAAACAAAAACGAAGCTTTGCCTTTCTCACACTGGGCGACTCCCAATTTTTTTACAGTTACTGAACCTCAAAAAAACCTATATTTCAACAATTGTGCCGATGATTCTTGTAATCGAAGGACTGTGGAATTTTTTTTCCAAATCCGAAGAATTTTCTTAGTTCACAAATAGAAAAATTTCGAAAATACAACAAGAAATGTTAATCTATAATCATAGTGTAAGTACACTATGCTATAATAGGCGAATGGAAAGCTATCGGAACATTAAAAAAAATATACGTTCAAATCTGATGAATAGTTCACGAGAAATCAACAACCAAAAATAATTTTGCAAATTGGGTTGAATCGAACGATTCTTTGAAGCGTGAACTTTTTTTATACTTCTATTTGTCCAAATTGTATACTTCTATTTGTCCAAATTGTAATAATTGATTAATTGTATTAATCAGAGTACCAAGGGCCTATTACAGAGTTACCTTTCTTGTTATATTTCTCGAGTTATTCCATTTGCTAGGTAACTAAAAGAATTCCACAGTCCGTCGATTTGCAAGAATCATCAGGACAATTTTTGGAAATGGTTGTCTTAGGGTTCCACCATCTGTAAAAAATTGAGAAAGCTCTGGGAGTCGCCCGGTTTGAAAGACAAAGCATAGTTTTTTAATTTGTTTATTTAATTACATAATGACTAGGAAACTTATGGTGATCGGGTTTGCCACGTTGTTTTGTTATCAACAGAAGTGGCCAAATACGGATTTTCAAAAACATCGGATGCACTTTACTTAGTATAATAATTGATTGTTAATCTTTGGGCTTACTTTTTTTATATTTTTCCATAAAAAACAATAACAATAACAATATGTTCGGGAAGTTTCCGGCCAGGGGGGCTATGATTTTCGCATTCATCGAATTTTTTTACATCCAGCCCAAACCGTAATTTGACTAGACTACGGTAGTAGAAATACGAAAGAACGATTTGGCATAAACTACAGATACTAAATAATTTAAATATACTCCGAATTAGGTTTTCCTGCAGTTTTCCTAATTCGTAAGGTAAATGCCGGAGTAGTATAGAACAACTTAAGACCTTCTGAAGGGGCACCTCTAAAAAGCATTATGCGGGTCACTCTGTAATTGGGCGTAAGCCTGTTGGGGGCCTAGAATAAGAGGGACAATAAATAAATAAATTACAAATATCAATATTTTTAATGAATTACATTTCAAAATGAACCACCAATTGTAATTTGTAATTTTAACAAACCAATAAAGATTGTAAAATTACATCCATTTAGATAGGTATGTAGATATGTGACTTCTTTTATTGGCAACCACCTGCATGTCCCGCCCTTTTATCCAAGTATATGTATTCCTCAGAGCATGTTGGACGAAAAGTTGGTGCTGGCGGTCCTGCCCCTCTAGATAGTGTTCCAACTCCTCCCTGCGACTGGAATTTGTGCTGCATCTGTCAGACTGGTGGTGAGGTTTTGACTATATACATCCCTAGCATCGCATCTTGAAGATCTCAACCATTTTAACTAGAGGTTTCCTTGTGGGCTTGGTGTGAGTACACTACACAAGAGTGATGGAATTCTTCCGCCTTTCTTGAAAAATGGTGGTAAATGGCATAAGAATTGTAGAACAGGATGTTGCTGAGCACCACGTCACCAGGTTCGGGTTAATACAAATTAACACCAAATACGATGTATGCTTCCTCTGTAGTGGCCCAGAAACGTGGAACAAGCCATTGAGACGGTGCCAGATTCAAGAAATTTACAACGTAAAGCGCTGTGCCTAGATCCTCTCCGACACAAAGCTCCGACTACACTTTTTAGTTTCTTCTAAGTATGTTTTCCGTATGGGAAAATTAAGTAAAATGTGCTCATCTCGATTGGCCCAGTTGCGAGGAGTTATATCCCGGCGGACATGCCCAATTTCCCAATTTCCTAATTTGGAAGCAGAAAGATCAGGAAAAGAGTACATCATTTTCACGCATGGAACAGATTTTAAAGAACATGGTAGACGAAGACCAAAATGAGGATCCACTTGCCTTCCACCGTTTTGCCCTTAATTTAAGGAGGTGTATTTCCTATAGGTATCTATTATTGTTTCAGGTGACTAATGTGAAAAAAGCCAGGGAAATTCATCAGGTCGATACACTACGCTCGTGAACAATCCGGAACAACCCTTGAAGACTGGAGTTCATAGCTAATCAAAAGTTCACCGAGGTTCTTGTACTGGCTCCCTGTTTTAAATTAAAAAATACTGCTCTTCACTTTTGTGCGCGCGATCAGGCAAGGTTTGTACATTACATTCAAGGAGTGTATTAAGCGTATGCTGCCATGGTTTTTCCTATTGGATCAACTATGCACGATGGTTTACTCTTCATTTGCAGGACCTAGAGGTACTACTAGGGAATGCAATCCCGCAGCAAAATCTCAATCCCGGTATTTGCGGGATCGTTAGATGTTAATCCCGCGGGATCCCGGTATTTGCATTTGCAAAATTGGCAAATAAGCAATTTTGTGCGGTTAACTTCTGCATTAAAATAAATCACTAATTATCACAATATTCAACAAGAAAAGTACCTTCAGTCTAACTTAGAACTCAAAAAAATCACCTGTAAAGTACAAAAAGGTGAACTACTAAAGTGCCTCAAAAATCATAGTACATTTTTAACGAAAAAAGTTTAACAATTATTTTAAAAATAATTTCTCCGTTATGCGTTTCATTAACAAAGCAAACAAAGTCGTCCCCTTGGTCGACAAATTCCTCAGTCCCGCAAATCCCGCGGGATCCCGCTCCATTTATGTGCGGGTTTAATCCCGCAAAAATGCTGCGGGATCCCGGTATTTCGGGGTATTGCATTCCCTAGGTACTGCCAGAGAAAGCATCAAATGTTCACTAACATTTTATGTCCGGTGAGTTGTAATGGAAGCTTTAAGTGATCGTTTAGTGCTCTGGTCCAGTTTCAAACATTACCTTTTATCAGGCAAGTTTATAATGCGTAAGACCACTAGATCTTTCTCATACCTATAGATCGTGCTCATGAACAGCACTTACCTAACCACAATCCTATTTTCATAAAAGTTATAGGTATCCATTGCCTATTTGATATTTCCCTATATCGCTACCGAAAGGCCATAACGTGTGTTCATTCGTATTTTTGTGGAACAGGCGTATTTAGAGACCTCAAAAACATTTGAAACGATACCCAACACACCAACATTTGGGCTCAGCATTAAGTTTCACTTTTTGGCGGCCATTTTTATAAATGGCGGCCTATCATGACTTCCGGTGGTTGTTCGGAAATTCTGACCAATGCATTGCATTCAACAGGTTAAAATCTTGCGGCCGTGACTACAAACAGGCCTTGCAAGCTAAATTTACATTTTTCAAAAATTTTCACATGAAATTTGCCCCCCCCCCCCTCTCCGAAATTCCAATCCTAATGGGATGAAATTTCAGGAAGTCTTGCATTTATCTCGCCAAAAATTATGATGAGAGGGTACGATCTTCTCTAAATCAGTGTGGATTTTCGTTCCTCCAGTACCTACAATTGTTTTTGTTTATAAATTGGTGGTGTAAGCGCTGCGTGATTTTGGAGAGCGGCGGAGCCTAGACGGGCAGTCGGACGGCGCCGGCGCGGGGATCGTCAGTATTTGACTTGCGGTGACGTGGGCGTAGTCCTCGCGTCTCTGTAATTTTGTTTTTCTTACGATTAGGTTGTTATACGAATTGTAATAATTATTATCAATTTGTCCAGAATAAACGGTTTGTAGCGATTTAATACACAACACAAGAATGTTAGAAGAGGAAAATGATTTTCCGGTGCAGTTTTTTGTTTTCTAACTCTGATATAAGAAAGCAGCAAATGGTAGACGATGGGTATTTATGAAAATCTAGCGTGGAGTCAAATCGTATTTTACCATCACGACAACGTCGCGTCGGAGACTTCGGCGCTGAGAAGACGTGTGCAATAGTGAGACGAAAATACTGGTTCCTATATATGAAGTTGAAGAAATACGTAAAACGACACGTGACATGTTGCTTGTCATGTGTGTACCCACTGGAAAGCAACCAGGGTTTTTGGTGGTTTTACGAAATTTGCATTCTTGGAGGCGGTGCGAAACACTTCTATGTTCGGTGTGGCTTTGTCGAATATTGCAAATCAGTCGGCATAAAAGTAAACTGCAATGCAACGGCGACTCCACGAGCCTCTTCGACAGATGATGAAACTAAATGGGATGACAGTGTCGGTCAGATACAATGGGGTACAAATACCACTATAATTAAGTAATACGAGTTACCTGCTTCTAGGTTACCAACCTCGGCAGGTGAACGATGCCTTTCTGAGTGCCGAAGTATAACTTTGGGTAAGAGCAAGAGCTCTTGAATTTGGAGTACGTCGTCGATAAGCATTTAATCAAATTTGGATTTGTGACAAAGTGAGGGTGACCTGCAATGCTATGTGTGGGCGAATAGGCAAATTATAGTCAATTACGGGACGAGGAAAAACTTATTAGCAGGTCTGTTTATTTACGAGTGGTAAAATTTACGCGAAGGAAGATTTTCCAGTCGAAGAAGCGCTTTTCAAATGAAAACGGGATTAAATAACCTGACATTAAAACTCATTGTGTTAAACAAAGAAGTGTTTTTGTTTCTTTCTCGGATTGCTAACCGGAACGGCCAGCTCTTAAATTTTGGGCGTCGTCATTGGATTGGGCGGTAAATAAAATGTATACAGTATAAAGACAAATAATAATCGGTGCATTTACCCACAAGACCAGGTGAGTGAATTGAGCAAAATTTATATTCATACGGCGGAACATTGGCATTTTATTCCCGTGCGTAATCACGATCTCGAGTTTTACTTTCACGAAATTAAAGCCGGATTGCTGTGGTTAGCAATTAATATTCCAAAAGAAATTGACCCGTGAAGTACCAATGGCGTAGAGGTTCAATTTTAATGTATGCAAGTGATGTTTTCGACACTTGTAAATACGACTAAGCCGTTACGGTCCCTGACGTTTCTAGCAGAACTCGAGGATTTTGGCACATTGCTTTGCTAAAGACGTGGTTGTGAAAAGAAAGTGATTCTATTAGTACAACCGAATAGCAGTCGATTTGGAGAATATTTTCTGAAGTTGGGTTTGGGAGGGAATTAAGCCGTAGGGATGCGAAAGCGTCATTTTCGAAGCGCCACCAAAAGAAAAGCGGCGTGAGACCGTGCGGGCATCGGGTGCGTGGTCAAAAAATTTAAGTAAGTGCAATGGAACGTCGTAAAATAAACGTGAATTTGTCCCGTGGACCCTTTTCTAGGAATGTGGACGGTTGGTGTATGAACAGTAGGACATAAGCCAGCCTCAGGATTCACAATTTGCTTGCAGTTAATAATTAATCTTCCTTATCGAACTCGTTTTCTATTGGATTACGCAAATTGTGCAATCTTTTATATCCAAGAAAAAAGCCAAACTGCCTTCCTTTAAGCCTATTCCGCCTATTTCTCTTGTTTCGATGACCTTTTGAAAATACCGGGTGGTATAAAACATATTCTATTTTACTTAAAAATGGACGGCACTTCCCTGGTGTTCCCAAAATAAGGACGATTTTGGCCCTTTTATTAGGTAAGAAGCTTCCAAACAATTCAAAAGACCCCTTATCAGAGCCAGTAGGATAAGGCGAAGGGCCCGTTACAATTACTCAAATGTTTTCCGTGCCAAAAAGTGACAGATGGCTGACAATGTCATCGACGTTTTTTCATTCCATCCTTTACACGTTTATTTCAGTACTTTGGTTCACGAAAGGTCAGCAGTATGGCGATGGCGAGTTTGGAAGGAGAGTTTCCCTATACCAGTACACCTACGCCGCAGGAATCGTATACCACGTACGCAACAAACCGCCTCAGCTAATGTGCGGCGCAGCAATCATTCATCCGCTATGGGTGTTAACGGCGGCAAGATGCTTTCCTCAAGATGCCAGAATCGAAGACTACGAGGTGTTCGCGGGTGACGTTGAATATTTCAGCAAAAGTTCGAGTGAACAGCACCGTCGCATCTGGAATATCGTGTTTCATTCTAACTACACCACGTTCCCAGCTGAATTTAATATCGCGCTTGTCGAAGTGAGCAATCTAGCATTTAATCGTTTATGTCCAACCCAAATTGCAGCTCATTCAGCCATTTGACATCACCAACAGCGTGCGTAGTGGTTTTTTGCCTCAAGGACCTTTGCGTGAATATATGAATTGCAAAACGCTGGGGTAAGTGAAAATGACTTCTAAATTTTAGACATAACACTCGCATTGCAGCCTCAAAAACGAGTGGTGGATACCGACGCCCGTGCTGGTAGATGTGGATACAATTGCGAGACGCAGAGAAGAATGCTTACATCTAATCCAGTCACCTCAATGGTTGCTAGCAGCGCCGGTGTTCGATTATTGCCTCATCTCCAGCTCCATTAGCTCACGAGCACTTCGCGTAAGTTTCCGCGATGCCTGAAGCTGACAGCTAATTTGTAAACCACCATCAGGACCCTTTTCACGGAAACATAGGCGCGCCCTCAGTCTGCAATAACACAATACAAGCAATCACATCAGACTTGCCATTCCTTGATCTGTCGGGGCCTATTATTGTAACTGATGTCGGCAAGCACTTGGCGTGGATACGCTCCAACATAATAAAGCGGGAGCCAGCGCAGCAGTATTCCTATAACGCTCAAATCATGCGCTCACCATTGGGCGTGATAGTTCTCGTATTACAGATGTTATTATTAGCGACTTAGAAATAAATCTGATTTCACCTGACCAGGCAGCACACCGAAGGACCATCACCCTCTTTATTTCGTAACTCGATTCAGAGCCCGCTCCTTTCAAAAAAAGGATAGGACCCTGTTTAGCCTAAGTTGCTTGGCCGTCCTTGTTTCCAGATAACCGTCGGTCTCTGATCAAATTGTCTACTCGGTAGTAGAAGCCCTCTCTCCCACCCAATTTTCCTAATATACTCGCCGAGTTAAAAAAAAACAAGGTTCGGCTACACTCTTGATACATGTAAGGGTATAGCAGAAAGTTTGTCCCTCATGCCCCGGAAGAGCGGTCATTAGAACCGGCACAATCACTGCTATCTGAAAGCGCTTCATTCTATCGCACTTTAGTTTAGTTCTTTTTCACTATTGAACCTTTCCGAACCTCTGTCTCCACGTTTTTCGGGCACTAAGCGTGAAGCTGTCCAAGTCCAAGGAACAGTAATTGAAATGAGCGCAAAGTCGTCCGTGAGTCCAAAATCGAAAGCACGAATTCGAACAAACCGCGCAAATTATGAGCATGGAGATTTAGTATATACGACCATCAAAAAATTATTATAAAACTCTAGCGGACTTTTCCCACGAATAAAATAGAAGTTTAGAGTGAGAATCATTTAAAAATACCACTTCGAAAGCGCAAGTTTATTGAGTCAGTTTCGGTGTTTGCCAGGGAATATTGCGTGACCGGAAAGCTGGTTGAAATCAGATGAAATTGCATAAGATGAGGTAATCATACAAAATATCCAAAAAACTTTAGCGATATTCATTCCGGAGATTCAGGTTTCGTCCTGTATTGTTCACTTTTATGGGCCATCACATTGAAAAAGGCAGCACTGATTTGTAACCATGTTGGAATGGATGTAGTGGTCTAAGGACCAGTACGCCATTACTAATGTATGCATCCACGAGCTTCCTCGCCATTTTTAGAAGAAACGATGATAGGCCCATGGGGTTGTAATTTTTCACAATGTCATATTTGGCACGATCCGAGTTAGGTAGGTACACAACCCTTACCGGTCCCCAACATTCGGGGATATACACCAAAGCCAGCCAACAAGAGAAAGAGCAGCGTTACAGGCCCTTCTGCAGAAGAGCCGGGAATGTCCCGTCCGGTCCTGCACTCTTAGATAGTCTGAACGTGTTGACCGCCTATCTCCAAGAGATCCGTCGGTAACACCGACCCGGGAAGGTCCTTTTGGTGTGCCCGAAGTCATGTAGCAGTGTTTTTCCAGGAGATAATATGTGTATGTACGCACGGAAGCCTCAGTGTCCTCATGTTGTACCCCGAGTCCTTCAAAAGGTACTTTTACGAAGTTTTTGGAAGACCCTCTATGTTACCACAGGAAGTGTTCCAAGATCCTGGCTTAGACCTTTGAACATGGTCCTTATACCTGCGATCTTAAGATCTCTCCAGTCCGCAGGCAGATTATTTCGCCATTAAGGCGTCGCTTACTAATGTGGTTGCCTCTTTCACCTGCCCTGCTTTCCAAACTGAGCAGTTCCAACCACACAGTTTCGCCACATAGCAGTTCCAGTCAGTGGATGGAGGATCTTGAAATCTACAGGGCCGCAGTGGGATGTCAGGTTTAGTTGGAAAACAATGTGCCTGTGGTCCGAAAGGGACGGTTCATCAAACATCTTCCAACTCGTGATCTCGTAAGGTATTGAAGAGGAGTCCAAACAACAAAGGATTTAGACTGTTCATATCAGTTGTTTGCTAGCACTCCAGACACCCCGCAAAATGGTGTGCGTTTGCATCAAAGCCAACCACAGGAGGGAACCCACTATTTCGACCTCGACCTGGCTCTTATCTCTTACGTGTCCTCTGTAATTGTGAATCCAAGGTTCTTGTTGTTGACGGCTTCTTGTCCTTTTACTTTGAGAAAAGATACTTCCACTGTGCTTTATTGGTCTATGGAAATTTAGTTCCCACCATTACGTACTCGTCCTGTCCTTCCCGCCATTTCGTTTCGAAACCGATCATTCTCTTCTCGTCTCTATCTAAGAGGCATAGCCTACAATTACAAATTTTACGGCACCTTTTGTTTTAAACCTTTTTCTTTTGTTATGACTCTCAAATGATCTGTTCTATTGCTAACTGCACTGCTAGCAGTTCCCAAAATGTTGCTTTAAAATGCTTGAATCTGCTGGGTGCAGGGACCCGGACCGGACCGAAGCAGAACCGAAAACCAGAGCGAAACCGGTATGTTTTCAGGACAGAGAACCGAACCGAAACCGTTATTCCTTCACAAATGGAAACTTATTGAGAACCGGAACCCTTTTTTTCGGTTTATTAGGGTTCTTAACAGGTTATTGGAAGTTGAAAGACGCGCCAAAAAATACGGCCTGAAAATTGATAAAATATTACTCTCTGATTGCCATCGGTGGATTATAAATTTTTTGATAAGGTGTCGAAATTGGAGGAAGTACGGGTGGGGGTGGCGATAATTTAGCCACTACTGTAAATTTAAACAATAAACGGAGGGGTGAGATTAAAAATAAAAAACAATACTCCATACATAATTTTTTTTATATAAGTTTTTGTACATTTTTTCTGTTTTTTATCCATAATCTAAGTTTAAATATATATTTCCCTCTTCCTCCTTTATTCCCCTTGTCGTTGCAAATTAGCAACACTGACGATACGTCACGTCAGGGCCATAGCCAGTGGGGGGAAGAGCGGGCAAAGCAAAGAAACTTTTGTAATAAACACCTTTCCAATAACTTAATAAACAAAGGCTTTTATCTTTTTTTTTTATCTCCCAGTTTTATTTATAATCTGTCCTAGAACATTAAGTAAATGTAATAGCAACAATAATGCTTTAACACAACAATGCATTAATGCATTAATAACATGTAGGCAGTTTTCCATTAAATCGTGCCTCTGATTTTATCTAAAAGTAAAAAAAATGTAAATTTTACCCATAACTTTTGTTTTGTTTTTAATTTATGGGCAAAAGTTGCATTTTTTTTTAATTGTTAGATAAAAGGCTGTAATTTCTTTGTTTATTAAGTTATCGGAAATGTGTTTATTACAAATAATGTTTCATAAGGCCAATAAAAGAAGATATCGGAACTATCGATAACTTTATTTTTTTCAATTGAACCCCCTGTATATTATTTTGATCTAAACAGACAGAATAGTAAATTCTCTTTCAAAACCAGGGATGACATTTACAAAAAAGATTCAAAAAAATGATTAAAAAGGTTAAAAACAATTAAAAAAATACACCTTTTACACAATGTTGTTAATTTTTTTATCGTTTTCGCATTTAAAAAACGAGGTTTGGTCCGATAAGTTTTTTACCGGACCCCGTATACTTATTTTGAAAACAGCAATCATTGCAAAGAAACTTTTTTAACACAACACAATTTTGCCCATAACTCAAAAACAAAAATATGCATTTTTTTAATTTGCGTTATGCTACCAAATTTTGCGCACTGTATTTTCTAAAAAATACGAATTTTTACAGGGGGTGATATTTGGCTACGGTCCTGGATCATGTTTTGGTACCCATGACTTTTTACTTCGCTTTCACACCTATTAATTAACAAATCAAGTTGTTATAATGAGTTTTTTTAATGCCATACTTTCTAAAAAAAGAATAAAACCGAAAAGAAGCGTTATGGATCAAAACAAAGCGTAGAACCGAACCGTTATTTTTTTAGAACCGAAACCGGATCGGAACCGTAAATATTTTCGTTTAAATATAAAGAGAACCGGAACCGATATTTCATTTAGGTCCGGGTCGGGTTCCTGGCTGGGTATTGGTTTTCTTGGTGCAGTTCCATTTTTAGACACAAGCGACCTGTTATAAATTTTAACTGAAGTGACGGGAACCTGAGTTCCTAATTCGTAAGGTGGATACCGGAGTAGTATCTGCAGGGGCACCTTTAAAAAAGCATTATGCGGGTCATTCTATAATTGGGCGAAGTCCTGTTGAGGGCCCATAGCTCATAAATAAATAACTAAATAAATGAGTAAATAAATAAATAAATAAATAAATTGGCAATTTGTAAATACTTTAGGAAAGAAATTGAAAAAGGCCACAGGAGAGCACCGTTCAAAAACATTTCCTATTCAAAAAATTAGTCTGGCCATTCAGCGCGGCAATGCCGCTAGTATTATGGGCACTTTCCCTTCTACAATATCTTTAGATGAAATTTTCTTCCTCTCTTAAATCTTGAAACCTTTTTTTTTATTAAATACATGTAAGTTATATTATATATGAAATTCTAGTGACTTTAATAAATAAATAAATAAATACATAAATGAGTAAATAAATAAATAAATAAATCTTCCAAAGAAGCAGACCCAGAATTGAACCTTCGAGGGCGCCTCTGTAATCTACATTATGTGTTTTCCAATTAATGGCAGTTCGACTTATTCTAAAGGTAGCTAGATACTCTTAACGTGACTACCAAAGATAATCACAGCAACAAGATGGACGATTCAGTCACAGTTGATGACTAAAAGAGCGCAGTCGTTCTGACCTTCTCTGATTCTTTCTTGGAAATCAGCAGGATCTCGGCCACCTTGGATCTCTCCATTGCTACCATACCTAAAAACACCTGGAATTTAAAACTTGGTTGAGATGACTCATCGAAAGTGCCTGACAAGCTTGTAAGATGGAAACATGATGGTTAGATCCGTTACTGAGGTTTGGAAAAACTTCAAGTTACCCGTCGCCATCAACAGATTCTTCCATCTCCCAGTTCAGGTACGACTACCTCCGTGGAGAAGAAAAACAACTCATCCAAAATATTGACCAGGATTCGCCTTGTTGAGAACTGCATTCGTGCTTAACAGATTCGCATCATTATCACATGCGCTAAATAACCCATAGATTTTTAACACATTTATCTCAAAGGTCACCGCCATATCTCCCAAACAAACTTTTAATGTGCTGTTCTATTATTATTGTTCAAACATGGCCAATGAACAGTCGTACTTGGAGACCAAAGCGAAAAATCCTCCCGTC